CTTTTGTGGGCAGTTAGCCATTAACTGTTTACCTTATAGGTAGTGTGTCCGGAATGTCCTTCCTGAGGACACAGATGGCTGGGTAATAAACTTAGGAATTTTGAGTGGATAGGCACAAATTTGAGAGAACAAAGGAGACAGCTCCAAAATGGAGTCACTCTGGCTCCACAACACAAGGTCCTGAGTTTGATCCCTGGTACAAAAAAAAAAAAGAGCTTATGTTGATTAGGATGGTAAAATGAGCAAAGACATTCTTACAATCCTGGTGTGATGAGTTAAGATGATAAGGAATTTGTCCCTCCCCAGGTAAAACCTTTCTTTTACTACTTGGATATAAAGAAACCAGAATATCTTCAGTCGATGTAATCTTGCCCTTGAGTGTCACAGCATCATGGGACCGCTGAGGTCTCAGCTGTGACCAGAGGCAAAAATGAAGTTATGAAAAAAAAAAAAATGAAGTTATGTTTTGGTATGTCATAGATGGCCTATAGGCAAGAAGACTAGGTCTAATCATAATTTAATTGTGAAATGATTTTTCCCCAAAATTATGTAGAAAAGTTCCCAACAAAAAGTTTTTGATAATTATTGATCATTATTCCCATATTTAATTTCTAGTAAGATTCTAGGGGAAAATTTGATATTTTTATCTTGTAAAAATATGCCTTCTATGCCTTAAAATTTTTAGTCTTTTGAGTAGCAAAGGTTTTAAAATATGTGTTTAAATAAAACATGTTATAATAGAATACCTTTCTGCTTGTTTTTTGTCAGTTAAGGTTAAATTCACTTTCTGAAAGTTTATAACAAGACATATTTCATGTCTCATGTATTTTACAGATGTTATGACATAGTGTTGGCATTTGCTACAAAACAAAAACATTCAACAAGGCATTTAAGCCTAGCTCTTAATGTTATAACTATATTTACTTCTAGGAAAACTGAGATAATTAAAGACTTTTTTAAGCTGACAGCTTCAGAAATGAATTTTGCTTCCAGAAATACCAGGACTGTATTAAAAATTCTTAAATTCAAGGTGCTTTGCCTTCAACTGAGCATGACTTCAACTCACTTCAGTTGTAAGGGAGTAATCAACTATGCTAACCATCTGCAAGGAAATCACATGGAAAGGTATATTCTGCTGACATATTAAATATTAAAAAGGACCTTAATCATATAATTCAACAATAGAAAATATATATAGTCATATTTTAAAGCTAAAGAATAAGAAGTTAAAATTTTATTGTAATTCATATATTGGCTAAATGGTACCATACAATAAGAGTGGTAACAATTTCTGATATGTCATTATAAAGGACAAAACTACCTTTGCTAGCTACATTGGATAATACTGGTTAACAGAGTAGCTCCCACATAAGTCAGTACCACAATTCACTTTGACAGTTATCACTCATTCAACAGTATCTCCCAGAAACATTGCTAGAAACAATGAAATTACATAATTTTAGAAGTTGATCTTTTTTCATTTAATCCTAACCCTTTACATTGACGATGAGAAAGTTGAAAAGAGCATGAGCAATGGATTAGCATCAGATCTGATACTTGTCCTGCTAGTAGTCATTAATGACATGACTTTTAGAAAAAAAATCTTTTTAGTTTCCTTTTTCCATGTTTAGAATAATAACGCTTTTCTTGCAAAACTGCAGAAGTGTTAGAAGGATCACATGTGTGATATGTATGGAAGTGCTTTATAAGTGATGAGATTCTTATTCTGTGAATCCCAGAACATGATGTGGTCTTGCATGGGACACAGTTTGTGTATGTACACACCAGCAAGGGGACTCAATCAAGGCACTGCTCTGATGTACCCTGTGGTATTTGGACAGAGAGCACCTGGTTTGTACCTGGTCCATCCTGCTTGGTCTAGGCATTCCCAGCAGTCACTGTCACCACTCAAGAAGGCTGAGGAGGAAACTCTGACAAGACAAGAAAGAGACAGAGAATCTTTATCATACTTTAAAATTTAGCCATAAGCCAAGCTGGGTGTGGTGGCATAAGCCTGTGATCCCAGCATTAAGAGGCTAAGGCAGGAGGATTGTTGCAAGTTCAAGGCCAACTTGGGCTTCACAGTGAGTTCAAGGCCAGCCTGAACTACATAGTGAGAACCAGTCTCAAAAAAGGGGGGGGGGTGAGGGCTGAGGATTTAGCTCAGTGGTTTCACTGCCTGCTGTGCAAGCACAAGGACCTGAATTCGATTCCCAGTACCAAAAAAAAAGGGGGGGGCATGTAGCTAAGTGGCACAATGCCTGCCTAGCAAGCATGAGGCCCTGAGTACAAAATTCTCGGTACAAAAAAAATTTATCCAAAGAGAGATTAAGAATTATTTGATCCTTTTGTCTCTCCAAAATCCTTAAAAGCCTATAAGCTTCTTTTTCTAATAGTATTGCCTTTGAGCATAGTAGCAGTTTACATTCTATCACTGAGAAGTGCCACACAGAATTTGAAAGGTGAAATAATCACAGCCATTTTGCTCTGGCTGCAGATAAATGTATAAGCAATAGACAGATGTGATGCTTTTCTAGTAGTTTCAGGTCTTCTGGGAATCACCTGCTTATGTTCTATAGGTGTTGATGTGTCTTCAGCATGTCCTAGAATTTCCATAATTTCCTTTGCTATTGTCAGCAACTTCCATATTTCCTAGCGATGTCTTTCCTAAACTCTTTTCTAGCTTTTCTAATGGTTTCTTATGTACATCATTTTTATTATATCTCTTCCTATTTTCTTTTCAACACTCAGACTGATACAGCATCTCATTTTGAAGATATTTATGAACATTTATTATGTAGCTAATTGCAACATAACACACCAAAACCAGTACCTTAAAACAATAGCAATGAAATTAAACCAGATATCAATTTGATGAGAATATCTATAAAATCTCCACACATTTGGAAACTAAATAACACACTTCTAAATAACACAGAGGTCAAAGGAAAAATTAAAATAGAAATTAGCACATATTTGTAGCTCAGTGAAAATATAAACATAACATAATAATTTGCGGGCAGCCGATAACACATTACCACTTAGAGACATTTATAGAATTCAGTGCTTTATTTAGAAAAGAAAGATTTTTAAGTCAAAAACTCAAGCTTAAAATATTACAAAAAGAAGAGCCTGGGATTTAGCTCAGTGGTTCCGCCACTTACCTCTCAAGTACAAGGTCCTGAGTTCGATCCCAGGTACCAAAAAAAAAAGAAGAAAAAGAGCAAATTAAATCTGAAGTGAGCTGAAGAATAAATAACAAAGTAAAGAGTGGATATCAATAATATAGAACACAGGGCAGGGGATTTAGGGATTTTGTACCAGGGAATTCAATCCCTGGTACAAAAATAAATAAATAAATAAAATAAAAAATATATATCACAAGAAAACAATAGAGAAAATCAATGGAACAAAAGGCTTGTTCTTTGAGAAGATCAGCAAAGCTGATAAATGTCTAGACAACCTGGTCAGAAAAATAATGGAGAAGACATCATTACCAATATCAGGAATGTTAGATGGGATCTAACTACAAATCTTATAGATGTTAAGTTCACAGATGAAGACCTTCCCACAAAGGAACCTCGAGGTCTATGCAGCTTTACTGATGAATTCCATCAATAATATAAACTCCACACAATTATTTCCCAGAAAGACCAAGGAAAAGAGAATACGTTTATAGCTCATTCCTCGAGCTCAGCATTTCTCTACTATCAAACCAAGACAAACACAAAAAGAAAACTATGGGCTCATATGCTTTGCAAAGATAGACATTAAAGTTTTGAACATTTAGCAAAGTTGTTTTTAAAAAGGATAAAATATAATGATCAAGTGGAATTTATTATAGGAATATAAGTTTACTATTCAAAAGTCCATGATTGTAACTCACCATAGACACAGACTTCAAATCCTCCTCCTTTCAATATGATCACTTCACTAGAGGTAGAAAAAACATTTGACAAATCTGTCAGAAAGAAAGAAAATAACTTTTTCAACCTTAGGAGAGGTTGAACGCATTACCAGGAATAAAACAAAAATGTGCACTCATTTCTATTCAATATTGTACTAGGGATTTTATTCAGTGCAACAGGGTGATTAAATTTATAAAAACATTCAGTTTGGGGCCAGGGATTTAGCTCAGTGGTTCTGCCACCTGCCTCACAAGCACAAGGTCCCAAGTTTGGTCCCTGGTACAAAAAAAAAAATTCAGTTTGGAAATAAGCAAGTGAAACTATTTGCAGATACCCTATTTATGTACAAAATATGAATTATTTTAAAAAATGAAATTAACTAGGCTGTGTGATAAAAGATTAATGCATAAAATCAGTTGTGTTATACACTAATCATAAGCTATCTGAAACTGAAATTTTGAAATGCACTTACATTAGGATCAAATAATGAAATTCTTAGTGACAAATTTGTCAGAAAAACACTCTGTACATTGAAAATCACAAAGCATTACTAAAAGAGAGATAGTTGTCTTGGTCCATCAAGACTACTACTACAAAAAAATCAAGGGCCAGGGATTTAGCTCAGTGGTTCCACTGCCTGCCTCACAAGCACAAGGACCCAAGTTTGATTCCCAGTACCAAAAAAATAAGTATCAAAGACCAGGTGGATTAAATAATAAAAGTTTTATTTCTCACAATTCTGGAAGCTGAGAATTTCAAAATCAAAATGCCTACTGATTCTGTTTTTTTGTTTTTTAGTTCATTCTGAGATTTTTAGACAACCACCTGCTTGGTGTCTCCTCACAGGATACAGAGAAGAGATGCTTTGCTCTCTTCCTCTTTTCTTAAAGGCTTTAATCTCATCCTGGGGTCTCCACCTTCATGACTTCACCTAAATCCAACTACTTCCAAAAGAACTCACCTTCACATTTTATCACATTAAATATTAGGACTTGAACATATGAATTTGGGGAGCACACAACATTCAATACCATACCAAAAGTTAAAACAAAACAAAAATCCTAAATACAAAGAGATCTATCATGTTGAAGATTGGAAACCACCGTGTTATTAAGACAACAGTTTTCATCTGAAGCTATAGCTTAAATGTATTCTTCAGTCACCCTGCAAAGACTCTGTATATCTTTTATTTTTATGAAAACGGACATGCTGGGCTTTTTTGTTTTGGGAGTTTTTTTGTTTTGTTTTGTTTTGGTGAATTGAACTCAGGAACTTGTGCTTGCCAGGGAGGTGCAGCAACACTGAGTTAACTTCCTGGCCAGGACATGCTGTTTATAAAATTTGTATAGGAAAAATTTGACATGTAAAATCCATAATGACTTTGAAAAAAGAATAAATTTGGAAATATAAGCATAAATTCAAGATTTATCATGAAGTAACAAATTAAATAGTGTTATTGATTTAAATGTGAAAGAAAATGATAAAATAGACCCACACAGCATTATGGCAAATTCATTTTTTTTTTTTTTTGCCAATTCATTTTTGACAAAGAAGACAAGGTAATTTAATGAAGGAAAAAATAAACATTTCCAGGAATAATACTATGAAAATAGCCATGCGTAATAATAAGAATATTGACTCACATACTACAACTAATAAAAAATTCACTCAGCCAGGCACGGAGGCCAGTGCAGGATGATCAGAAGTTAGGGGTCATCTTGGGTTACACAGCAAGTTCAATGCTGGCTGTGAATAAATAGTGAGACCCTGTCTCAAGAAAAAAAGAATCACTCAAAGTGAATTATCAATCTAAATGTAACCACTTTAAAAAATAAAACTTCTAAAAGAAAATGTAGGAAAAATATTTATGTCCTTTTGTTAGGCAAAAATTTTCTAAATTCAACAATAGAAATATAATATAAAAAATACTGATAGATTTTACACAAACAGCCCTTCAAAACACATTCTTAAGGAAATGGAAAACAACTCACATAATGGAAGAAAATAATTATAGGTCACATATCTCACAATTCTCAAAACTCAACAAAATGAAAACCTACAACCTAAATTGAATAATTAATTATTGACATCATCAGTCATCCCGGTAATGTGAATTAAAGCCGTGATGATAGACCATACAGCTTATAATGTCCAAAACTAAAAAGATCTTATTCATTGCTGGCAAGAATGTGGAAAAATTTGAATTCATATATACTTTTGGTGAAAATAAAATAGTTTGGTAGTTCTTAAAAAGTTAAACATATATCCAAGGTTAAGCAAAGTCAAGCTCATAATCCAGGCATTTCACTCAGTTATTTGTCATAGAGAAATTAAACATGTTTTTACAAAATCTGCACATGAGTGTTCAGGAGTACAATAGTAAAAAATCTAGAAACCACACATACACCCATTTATAGGCAAATGCATAAAGAAACTGTAGTATGTCCATCTGATGGAAAGCTACTCATCAATTCAAAGGAGTCAGCTACTAATACATTCAACATAGAGAAAGTAAAAATAAGCTACACGAAAAAAGCCATTTCCTCTACCAAAAGGATACAAATTGTATGATTTTATTCATGTAAAACTCATATAAAATGTTAATTGGTGTATTATAGCCAAAAGTGAAAAAGTGGTTTGTCCAGGATGGTGCTGTTAGGTGGGAAGGAATAGGAAGGGGAGATAACAAAGGGTCATAGAAACTTTTGAGGGTGATAGAAATGCTTATCATCTGGACTGTTTTGCTTATTTCATGATTATATCCTCTGTGAAGAGTCACAAATTATACACTTTATGCAGGTGAAAGTTACGATATGCCCATTTCACCTCAATAAAGCTATAAAGCAAACTCAAAACCAGTGATATTTATTTATGATCTCTGATCTACACTGTGCTCTGTGGGGTTACTTGTCTCTCCTTCCTCCGGTGTCAGCTGGTGTCTAAATGGAGCTAGAGAATCCAAGATGGCCTTACACACCTTTCCCCTGTCTAGCTGGAATGGATAGAATAGAGAAGTTAATGAGTCTCTTCTTCTCTTTACAGTCATTCATCTAGGATTTTCCCTCATCTTCCAGAGATTTGCCTAGATTTCCTTAAATGGAGCCTCAGTAAGAGAGTGAAAGTAGAAGCTGAAAATCTTTTCAGGATTTAAGCCAAGGAAATATTCTATTGGCCCAAACAAGTTATAAACCCAAGCCAGCCCAGAGTAAGTGTGAGAAGAGACTACAAATGATGACTTATTTGAAACTATTTTTAATAACCTATTACAGTTGATGGGCAATTGGGCTGCTTCCAAGTTTTAACTATTACAAATGGTGCCACTATAAATATGGGTGTGCATATATTGCTGTGGATGATGCTTTTAATTTTGGGGGGAAGATACCCAGCAAGGGGAATAGCCAACATAGAGAAAGTAAAAATAAGCTACATGAAAAAAGCCAGCTCCTCTACAAAAAGGATACAAAATTAAAAATGCACAGATTTTGTAAAAACATGTTTAATTTCTCTATGACAAATAACTAGGAGTGAAATGCCTGTGCCAAATGGGACCTCTAGTCCTAATTTTTTGAGGTATCTCCATATTGATTTCCACAGTGGTTGCACCAGTCTACACTCCCACCAACAATGAAGAGTTCATTTCTCCCCACAACCCTGCCAGCATTTGTTGTTGGTTGATTTCTCCATAGCAGCCATTCTTTCTGGGGTGGTGAGGTGGAATCTCAGCGTTGTTTTCATCTGCATATCTTGAATGACCAATGATGTCGAACATTTTTTCATGTTTGTTTGCTACTTTTACTTCTTTGTCTGAGAAATGTCTGTTCATTTCAGATGTCTATTTTTTAATTGGGTCTTTGAATTTGGAGGGTCTGGATATTCTAGATAGTAGTCCTTTGTCTAAGAGACAGCAGGTGAAAATTTTTTCCCATATTGTAGGTTGTCTCTTAGCTCTGTTGGTGGTTTCTCTTGCAGTGCAGAAGGTTTTTAATAAGATGAGATCCCAGTTGTTGATTCCTTGTGCTAGTTCCCATGTTACTGAGGATTTGTTCATAAAGTCTTTTCCTATGCCAAGGTCTTTGAGAGTTCTACCTCAGTTATCTTCCAGCAAGTTTAGTGTTTCTGTTTTAATATTTAGATCTTTAATCCACTTTGATTTTAGTTTAGTGGCTGGTGATAGACATGAGTCTAGTTTTAATCTTTGGCAGGTTGAAATCCAGTTTTTCCAACACCATTTATTAAAGAGGCTATCTTTCCTCCAGTGAGGATGGTTGGCTCCTTTGTCAAAGATGAGGTGTCTGAGTATGTCTGGAGTTGTTTCTGCATCTTCTGATCTATCCCACTGATCCTTGGGCCTGTTTCTTTGCCAGTACCATGCTGTTTTTATCATAGTAGCTTTGTAGTATAGTTTCAAGTTGGGGATTGTGATACCCCCTACCTTGTCTTTATTGCCTAGAATTGCTTTTGCTACCAATAAACTTAATTTTAAAAAGAACACACACACAAAAATAACCTATTACAATGTCAATAACTTTCAACATGGGGATTTTACATGCACAGCTACATCAATTGCACTAATGTCACAGTGATATAGGGTATATGATATAGGACCTCCAAATAATCCAAATTATGTAAGGGAAATATTATAACTCTCAACCTGCTAGATATCTGAAATCCTCAGTTCATCTTCTCTAAAATAGGTGAGGTCTAGGAACAATGGAGGTAAAGGGTAGGAAGAATTTATTGAGAGAAAGATAGCTCTAAAAGTGATAGTAGGGGGACTGGAAACTGGGTTGGCAACCCACCATGCTTTTCAAAGGTATTTTATTGAGCAAAGACACAAGGTGAGGCAGATACAAGGTGGAATAAAACTATGGTCAACTAATAAGATTACAAGTATGTTGCTTAGGAAATATTGATCCAGTGGGAAATCACAAGGTTGGACAAAGCTATAATCAACCAATAAGATTATAACAAGTGTTGGGAGCCATTTTGAGGCCTCAATGGTCCCATGATCTTGTGATTCTCAACAACAAGATTACATAAGCATAAGATCCCTTGTGAACCCAGGATTATCATTACCCTCTGAGACACTGGACACTTCATCAGATTATAAAATCCTCGTGAACTCAGTATTATCTCCACCCAATGAGTCATCTGATATTCCCTATGAACCAATCTAATAAATAGTGGCAAGCTCAGAGTATCTTTGTCTTCAGCCAGCTGTGAGGCACTGACCTCCCAGCCCCCCATATACTTTGAAATTATACAAGTCTCTGCTGTCTTCCTTTTTAGCCCTCACTGTCCCCCTTTCTAGGCAGTTGGAGGATTGATTAGCCTCTGATAAACAAGCATATTCACTTAGGTAATATTGATTAAATGGGGCTCAAATGGGGAAGCTAGTCATGTAGCAAGCATACATGGAACAAAAATGGATTTCCTGGAAGGAACAGACTAGGGAGGTTTTGGTCCTCATCCAAGGTGATCGATACCTATTTAGAATATCAATCACTGTTGTTCATGCCTAGGGGAAGTATGTGGATGTAGTTGTTCTTTTTCTCAAAGCCTAGCCTTTAGTGAATGAGGTTCAGGCTACAATTATCTTCTGTGCTGAGGACCAGGCCTTGACTAATTGCCTTGTAATATTTTCTAACTAGCTAAACTCTCTACAGTGACAGAAGTTTATTAGCATATATAAACAATTCAACATCTAGAGTTGAAAATTCAAAATTAATTCAATGATTGATATTTAAGGGAGCAATTACTGTTTCTCTACTGATCATTTTTCTGTGAAGTTCTTGCTTTATCCACATTTCATCCTACTTAGAATGGTAGAAAATGAGACAGTTCTTTGATTTTATTTCTATAGTTGAGGCATACAGCACTCACTGAATGCTTTTTCTATTGTTCAAAAACTTATGGATCATATACACCTTTTCAGTTTGCATGAATAAAGCAATTTTCATTATTTCTCCCCCTTGCCATGTTTGTTTTCTTTCTTACATTTCTGTATTCTTTTTTTAGTGCCAAAAATATTATTAAAACAAAAAAAATAAAACAAATTATTTTACTGTTTACAGATCTCTTTTAAGTCATTTCAGTGGGTCCTCTTTATGTGCATTCTTTTTTATAGCTTTATCAACTTCCGTAAAAACATTAAACTTCAATTTTTGAAATATATAAACTAATTCAAAATATTATAGACAGGGCCAGAGATTTAGCTCAGTGGCACCTCACCTGCCTCAGAAGTGCAAGGTCCTGAGTTTGATCCCTGGTACAAAAAAATAAACAAAACAAACTATAGACAGCTGAATTAGGTAGAAATTTAAGCAGTCAGATAGGGCTAGAGTCAGGACAAAAGTGAAACATACCACAACTGTGGCCAAAGACATATCTGTTGGAGACCAGACCTCAAGATAAAGACAAGATGATCAGACTTACATACTTCCTCAAAGAACAAACATTGGGCCTAATGAAGTCTAGATAGACATCAACCACCTTAATGGGTGACCCAAGAGACTTCTGGATGCACCCCTTCCTAAGGAGAATCCTTGTTCTTTCCATCCTCACTTGTGACATGACTTGTTTCCCAACTGGACCACTATTACCTAAGTAACTATACTCTCAACCTTATTGGTTCATCATTTCTGTGGTGCACATTGTACCTACATGGGATTTACTCTATAAAACTCTTCTGTAAAATGGGGTCCCTGGGCTACCCATTCGTGTCCCCTCCTGTCTCTCAGTAGCTGTCCCATCAATAAATATCTTCCTACTCTTAAGCTCTGCTGTTCCTAGAATTCATTCTTTGATTTTTAGAAAACACAAGCTTGGCATATCAGGCAACTTACAGATTGGGAGATGTAATATTTCATCTCTGGTATTATTTCCTGTATCAAAAAGATTTGAGGCATTCAAAGAATCATCAGAAATGTGTACTTATTTATCATGTGTAGAAAATTGCTGAAAAAAGCACCTAATGCTACAGACAATATCTGATCCAATTACTGTAGTCATTAATAGTCATGATCAAATAATCATACCAGGCTAGAAATAAGACAGATACTTGTATTAAATAGATGATGTTTGGAAATATTTAGAGCCAATACCAGGTTCTAGAACATACCAACATCTCTTGAACTAGTTTTCAATCTAAATCAGTTAAACAAGTCATTTGAACTTGTGAAGAAGGTAAACAAACATGGCCCTCGTTTCTCTTTCAGGCATTCTGTTACAGTTGAATAGGCTAGTAATAGTCCAGGTTCTTGTGTACAGGAGGAAGGAATTGCCAAGTGTACAACCAGTAATAAGTACTACGTAGCTACAATTATCAAAGATCACAGGAAAGGTAGCAGCAGTAACATGGGAAAGGAAAAAGGCAAAAGAGAGGGCTAATAACTCAGGCTTTCAGAATTTAAAGGTCAAACACCTCTAAGTTTAGGTATCTCCCACTGAATTTCACCTAGTGCCAGTGCTTTGCTGCCTAGGGCATGATGAATCTTAGGGTTTTGTTATTTTATTTTGTACTCCTCTTGGGATAATGGAAGTATGACTAACCATAAGGTGCTACTTACAGTTAAATGGAGGGGAGGGCATGACTCCCTCAGCTCCTTTGTTTCTAACTGTACTAATTCTGCATTGAAAGGATGATAAAAGCAAGGAAGAAATGGAATTTAAGAGTTAATGACAGTGTGAGGATCCACTGGAGAGACTTAGGGCTGTCTTAAAGTGGTGTGTGCTGGGGTGGAAAGGGGCTGAAATTTGGCACAAGAGTTCATTGAATGTAGGGGTGAGAAAATAAATTAAAGAAAGTTTTAACATTTTTTCTTTTAATTCCTTTCTTATTGTTTTTAGATAATTATTGCCTGCTCTTTATTACTAGAAATTGGCAGCAATATACCAGTCAGCTGATGTTAGTGCTGATGAATAATTACCAAAATGGAACTCTCCCTGAGGTGGTGGAAAGAAAACATTCACTGGTTGTCCAGGCCTTTGCTCCTGGGTCACATCCCCTTCTAGATCTGAGTTGAGATTTATTTATCCCTAATAGCTTAATGATTAAAATTGGACCACAAAATTTTCCTGATACTGAGAAAAAGAATTTATTAATATGTTCTCTAGGGCCGGGGATTTAGCTCAGTGGTTCTACGACCTGCCTTGCAAGTGCAAGGACCCAAGTTTGATCCCCGGTACCAAAAAAAATAAAACAAAAACCATGTTCTCTATAAGAAATCTCCCAAGTAGGGTGAGTACACAGAATATTTTTAAAATTAGACCATGCATGATTCCATAGTAGAAATTAAAGAAGTTCCAAAAGATCTATATTTTATACATTTCTTCCCACCAAAGTGATTTAAAATTGGAAATAAATGTAAAAGAGAAACAAGAAAAAAGAACTCAGATGTTTTGAAAACTAAAAAACCGCATTGCTGAATAATCTTTGGCAAGCCCAGAAAATTATAGAGCTGTAAGATAGTTACAACATGATAATGAAAAAATATATAATTAGAAAGATTTAGGTATTAGTATTGTAGATAGGTAAGTTAATTAGATATCTTTTAGGCAGTTAGACAGGGCTGGCATGGAAAGAGCCAACATGGAGGACAATCAAGACACATTCACTGAAGGCCAGCATTGTAAAAGGAGAGAAAAAAAACACATCACATGCTTCCTCTAAGGATGAATAGCAGTAATATTCTAAATAGGTATTAATCACCTGGGTGGAGGACTAAGATCTTACCTACCCCTTCCAGGAAAGATCCGTGACTGAAAATCCTTGTACGCTTGCTATGTGACTTGCTTCCCCATTGGATCTCCATTTAGTCAATATTATCTAAGCGACCATACTTGTCATAATCTTATTGATTGATCATAGTTTTGTCCGTCTTGCGATCTCTCACTGGATCAGTGTTGCCTAAGAACTGTACTTATAATCTTACTATTTGCCTATAGTTTTGCCCCACCTTGACCCCCCCTCACCTCCTGGCTTTGTCCCATAAAACACCTTTGAAAAGCAGGGTGAGCAGGCAATCCACTTTCCGGTCCCCCTTCTGTCTTTCTTAGACAGAAGCTGTTTTTCTCTCAATAAATTTTTCCTACTCTTAACCTCCGTAGTTCCTAGAATTCATTCTTCAAATTTAGAGAACACAAATTCATGTTTTGGATATCTAGCAGATTTGGGAATCACATCTATCCACCCTGTATCACTAGGACATAATCATTATGTAAAGAGATATATGAAGTCAGTATTTATGGGAAACAGCTAAAAGCATACTTGAAAGACTACTGATTATCTTAAATATTTAAGAAAGGTTTATAAGAGGCCGGGGATTTAGCTCAGTGGTGCCGCCGCCTGCCTTGCAAGCGCAAGGACCTGAGTTTGATCCCAGTACCAAAACAAGAAAAAAGAAAAAAGAAAGGTTTATAAGCTAAATATATTTAACTCAAGAAGTTGAAAATAGAACAAGAAACTAAACTCAATGAAGGTAGGAAATAAATATAAGGGCCAAAAAGATGAAGTACCTAAAGAATAAATAGGAAGTTAATAATTTCACATCACATTTCTTAAAAAGATTAATAAGATAGGTGACTAGGAATTTCATTTATAAAAGAGTAAAAGAGTGAGGGATAAAAATAAAAGATGAGGACGAGGGATTTAGCTCAGCAGCACTGCGCCTACCTGGAAAGTACAAGGTCCTTGTCAGGTAAAAGAGCCGAAAACCAAGACGAGACCAGAACCACAACAAGTCTTTATTGCCCGGACAATCTGCTAGGCTGTCTGAACAAAGGAGTGCAGCAATATGGCCCCGGGACAGGGAGCGCTTTTTATAGGAGCTGGGGTGGGGCTCAGTGATGTAGTGGCTAGGGATTGGAGTAGCCTGTGATGTCACTAGCTGCTAGGAGGAGAGCAGGTATCAGGTTACTCTTTTGGCGGGAAAAGGGGCATGTTGGGGAAAAAGAAGGTTGTCTTTTGGTGGGAGAAGCCATCTTGGGGTTGGGTTTTAGGTGGGGAGCAGGGTATTATGGGAAGAAGAAGGCAGCTATTATATATAGCAGCCATCTTAAGGTGAGGGAAATCTATCAGTCCTGAGTTCGATTCCTGGTACCAAAACAATAAATAAATAAAAATAATAATAAAAAGACAAAAGTAAAAAAGTAGTGTTAAGGTAGAAAAATCACTGTTGAGATAAGAAAAACTAAAAGAATTTAGCAAGACTATTAAAGGGCTACTTAATAAACTGAAAAGTGGATACAGAGATATATTCCTAGAACAGCAAAAATTACTAAATGTCAGATTGAAATCAATCTAAAACTCAATTAGAACAGTAAATATTAAATAATGGCACTTTTAATGAAAATAATTCTCCTTTTAAGAAACTCAATATCTATTTGATTTTTGGAGAAATTCAGCCAACCTATAAGTTACTTTAGTTAATTATCTTATATAATTTCTAAAAAATTGAAAAAGCTATGAAAACTACATATCTTGTTTTATTAGTAGCAATTTCATTCAGTCAAACCTAATATTAAACTTGTGACTATAGATCCAGAAACAAATAATATAAGAAAATAAAATTTTAGGCCTATTTTACTTATAAACCTAGATACAAATTATAATAATAGGGAAAAGAGCCAACCTGTTTGCTAGATGTCAGATATGCCGAGTTCATGTTCTCAAAAGTAAAGGTATGAATTCTAAGGAACAATAGAGGTTAAGAGTAGGATTTGTTGGGGATAGAAATAGCTCCTGAGAGACAGGAAAGGTCTTGAATGGATTGCCAGTGAGCCCACTTCTCTGAGAAAGTGTTATAGAACAAAATCACAAGGTGAGTACAATGTGAGTCTAAACTATAGTCAACCAATAAGATTATAAGTATAGCTTCTTAGCTAATACTGATCCAATAGTTGCAAGGGCATATAGATGACATCATTAACCTTGATTGAAAATCTGTAGTCTTAGTCTTATTTTTAGTCTTAGTCTTTGGGTGGGAGAGGATGGCCCACCTCTAATGAGATAATGGTTTATTTAAATGGAAAATCTCAAAAGGGTAGTACCAATAATCTCAAACTTCCATTTATCCCTCAGGAAAGTATGTAAATCTGGCCATTGTGATTTTAATCTTCTTTAGAAGTGCTACTAGCCAGAGTTCAGATGTGTTCTCATCTTTTGCATTGACTCCATGGAAGTGTTAGCCTTGTCTGACTGCCTATAATATTTCTAATTTAGCTGTCTATAATAATGCTGGCTCACAAAATTCAATGTATAATTTAAAAAAACAATGTAGCATGTATCCACTATTTAGGAATTTTTCAATATCAATCTTTCTATAATTTATTGCCTTAATACTCTAAAGTAGAAGTGCTAGAGTGTAGCTTAGTGGTTAGAGTATGTGCAAGGTCCTGGATTAAATTCCTAGCGCAAAAAGAATTATAGCAAATAGGCTTGATCCAGCTTACAGCCTTTTTTATGTGACTGTTGAGCTAAGAATAGTTTTTGCATTTTTATAGACTTTAAACAAATAAAAGAATATTGGCATAGACTGTATGTGGTCTGTTGTCTAAAATATTTACTATCTGGTCTTTTGCACAAAAATGTTTGCCAATCTCTGTTTTAAAAATAAAACAATACAGAAAACACATTTAGTATTTATAATGAAAATTCTTGGCAATTCAAGAAAAGAAGGAACTTTTTTAACTTGGTAAAAATTTTATATAAAATGCCTATGGCAAGTATTAAATAACAGGAAACATATGGTTCCTCCTTTTAAGATCAGGAACTAAAAAGATGACTGTTATCACTGCTATGATTTAACATAATCCTAGAATTCTAGGTCAAAGCCATTGTGAAAAATAGAAGGAAGAGCTATAAATATTACAGGTGAAGACTGAATTTCTTATTTCAAAGTTATATGAATAAAGGAAAAAATAGAATCAATTGATAGATTATTTGATAAAGTAAGAGTTCAACAAATTTTCTGGATACTAATTACATTCATTTTTATCCTAGCAATAACCGTTAAGTTACTACAAGCAAAAATAAAATATAATAGGGAAAAATCTCACTCCTCTAAGTATTATATAAATTATATATATACACATATATACATAAACATATATATGTACATATATATATAATATCTCTAGAGAAAAGCTTCAATTGGAAAGATTTTCATAGTCTTGAATGAAATGGGGTAATATAAAACTATCAATGGTATGTAAATTAATGTATATATTCAGTGTTTTTTCAGTTCAAAGTTTTAGTGTCTTTGTTTTGAGGAAAGCAATAAACTTGTCTTTATCTTAGCTTATCTCCGGAAATGCTCACCATGAGCCATAGTTGGCATGCAAGAGATCATCCTTTGCAGTGCTATTTGGTGGGTAGAGAGGTGAGAGCGTTTTGCAGTTCCTTCACAAAGACAGTGGAAGGTACAGGGAAAGGAAGATGTACCATGAACTATTAGGCAGCAGGAAGAAGCAATGGAGAACACAGCAACATGAATAACTTAGAAGACTTAATATTGGCTGGAAATAATAGGCAAAAACAATATGACACAAAATGAAATGAGCAAGAATAACATTGTTTTCACGCCTTCCAAATACAAATACACAAAACAATAATACAAGTTTTGTAGCAACACAGTGAAACAAAAACATTGGATTGATTCAAATGGTTGGCAATTGGCATAGTGGAAAAGTAGGGAATTCAGAGTGGGGCAGGAAATAGGAAGAGAGGAATATAGAAGTAAATAAACTTGCATCAATCCAGTGCTGCTGCTGCTATGGTCTGAAGCCAGGAGTTAAATGCACCCAACACTCTGAAGACCACAGAGGATTAAAACAAACACCCAAAAGAAAACATCCAGAAAGTGCATATGAAGAAGAGCCCAGTTACTGTACATGGTCTGCATAAATCTATTGAACAAAAGCAATTAAATTTTTTCTGTGTTTCTGTTGAATCTCTAGTCCCTTGCCCTTCCCTTGCTCTTTCACCTGAATCTATACTTATTCAATTTGCTGGAATTGTAAATGAGTGATGGTGGAGCATGCAGTAACTCCTTTTTGATCTTACCACAGTCCTCACTCTATTCTCATTAGTCAAGGTACTCCAGAAGAACAGAACCCAAACAGTGTATATATACATATTAGAGGGTATTTATTAGATAGACTCACATAGTTGCAAGCTTGACAGTCCCACAGGGGCCATCCACATGTGGCAGAGCCAGGAAAGCCAACAGCTGATCAGTCCAAGAATCTGGAAGGCTCAGAACAAGAGGAGCCAAGGATATCACTTCAGTCCCCTTGAAGGTCACTGGTACAAGTACATGTTCAAAGGCTAAAGGATCTGGAGTCTGTTGTCTGTGGGGAGGGCACTAGCAAAAATAGTACCTGTTCAAGCAAAGTCAGGTATGTGCTTGTGCTAGCTTCCCTCTTCCTCCTCTTTCTGTCTCATCTGGACCCCCAGACTGTTGGATAGTGTCAACCACATTCAGGGCAGGTCTTTACCCCTGAGCTCTGCCAATTGTCTCTGGAGACGCCCTCAGCACATGCCTGGAAGTGTGCTTTACCAGTACTCTGGGGGTCTCTTAATCCAGTCAAGTTGACAACCAAGATTAACCATTGCACCTTCTTTGTGAAAATTCTTAGTGAAGACACCTTTGTTCACTATTTTGTTTTCCCACTTCTTTTTGTTTTGTTTTCTTTTGTTTTGTTTGTACTGGAATCGAGCTCGGGTCCTTGCGCTTTGTTTTCCCACATCTTATTTGCTCTTTAGTCTTTAAAAATGGGCCAGCAATCCACTAAAACACCCTAATATACATTCAATACTTTACTGTGCTAAATTTTAATATATTTCATGTGTTTAATATAGTGCATTTTAATATACTAAGTTCCCATTTAATAAATCACTTTCCCTCTATTAAATAAGAAGTTGGTTCAGGCCACACTATGTGTTACTCATTTTTTTATCTATTCACTCCTCCTCAGAATGTCTTGTAATATTTAGCATCTCAAATGTGTGAATAAGCAGCTCTGGCTTTTTTTAATCAAAATATATACAAATAGACAAAACTAAAAAGTTGGCACATTTCACTTTTTTTTTTTTTTTTTTTTGTACCAGGAATTGAACTCAGGACATTGTGCTTGTGAGGCAGGCAGTGGCACCACTGAGCAAAATCCCCAGCCCTCACCTTTGAATCCCAATCTACATTTTCCAAGTCTTTTGTCCTAGTCGTGCAGTCTGGGTCTATATTCTGTACTCCACAATTTAGAGTCTAAATATACTGAAAAAGGTACTTACCAACACTAAGTTTCCATTTCTTCATCTGTGAAAGAGCAAAGCACATTACATCCTTTAGAGCTGTGAAAAATCAGTGAAACATGGCTTTCTAGTGTTGCCTGGCCAATCTTTTTTTTTTTTTTTTTTTTTTTTGGTACCAGGGGTCAAACTCAGGACCTTCCGCTTTTGAGGCTGGCTGCAGCACCACTGAACTAAATCCTCAGCCCTGCCTGGCCCATCCTAAGTGAGAGTAATATAGAAAGCCCTCTATTCTTGTTCTCATCTTTATTTTTTTTAATTTTGGCTCTGTATTCCCTATCAGAACTGTAGAATATCAGATTTCAATTATTTAAGTCTGAAGCTGAGTTTGTCAATATTTATCCTAGCTTCCACGGAAAATCAGTTTTCGAGTCTAAAGGGTGGTCTGACTGGTCAAATGAGGAGAGGTGCACAACAAGATTAAAATCGGAAAATACTTGTGCTATTAAGACACAATCATTTGGCTTTGGGGAATTAGAAGAATGAG